TTTAATAGACTTTGCATTTTTCTTGTCCCAGGAATGCTATTTTATTTCCATCAGATATATAAATGAGTTACCTAAACCAGCGTTTCTTAACCCATGGGCCGCGACCCAAAAGTGAGTTACAAGAATATATAAAAGGGTCACAAACAAACTTAAAAAGTGGATCAACAAACTTTTAAAATGGATTCTGTGGGTTTTCCCTTGCAGGTTGACAGAGTTCCAGCCTGCAAGGGCCCCCCCACACACACCTCCACTCCCTGCCCCACACACAGGGGGTCTGGGGGTGGGGGACAGTGGGTCAAGAATGAGAGGCACTGGGTTGGGACTGGCCATCCATGTTTACAAATGAGTCCTGGTATAAAAAGTTTGAGAACTACTGACCTAAACTGTGCCCAGCAACAGAGACTCCGCCTTTAAAATCTGGGTTGCGACTCATGAAAAGTGAATACAGGTGATTCATTTCCATTCCAACTTTATCCACAATTGTCTGACAGTAGGTGGGGCTGTTGTAAAACAGTATATCAAGCAAGGTCTCATTGGTGAAGTGGCGCAGACGTCCAATGCTTGGCAAAGTGATTTTCTTAATATTCCTGGTAATTCAAAAATGTTGGAGATAAAACAATTTAAAAGAAATCTAAAGAAAATATTGGAAGTTCCACTTTCTGTAATTGTGAATGTTTAAATATCTGACAATCTATTCTCAGCAGCCTAAACAGGAATTATGTTCTCCCTCCACTTCAAACTAAATTTTTTTGCCTCATTATGTACTCATACATTAGCATCATTGCCCTTTTTAATTGCCAGTATACATTTAAATTAAGAAACTAATACAATCACTTAAGTTGTTATTTCTAGCCTTAACGGAATAACTAAGATGCTACTTCACTGGAATCCTGTCCTTTTCCCATGACAGGGACAGGGTGGATGGGGAGAAACAACATACAACAACAGGAAGGGAAGGAACCACAACTCTTTGACAAACCAGCAACGGATAAGAAGGGGAAAGAACACAGCAAAGAGGTAGGGACAGACAAGAAGATAGGATCTCAGAGAGAAACTACAAAAGAAAAAGCTAACATGAAAAAATATCTGAAAAGATGATGCACACTAGTCCCCTTTAACTGCATTCAACTGTAGAAAGGGTACGTACTGAACTGTAAAAATACTTCCAGTAGTTTTTACGATTATTACATGAGACACTGTTTCCCTTTTCAGTGTTGTACTAGAGCAGGGATGGGCAAAATGCGGCCCGCGGGCTGGATGTGGCCCGCCAGGCCATTCTATCCGGCTCATGGGACCCCTAAAAAATTTAGAAAATGAATATATATCTGCCCCTGGCTGCCTGTCATGCAGCCCTCAATGGCTTGCCAAAACTCAGTAAGCGGCCCTCCACCCAACATAATTGCCCGCCCCTGTACTAGAGCCTACTGCCAGTATGCAGCTTCAGTAGAGTTAAGATAACCATAGCTGACTCCATCCAGGCTAGAAGGGGATACACTGTTTCTAAAGTTGTGCCTGGATCAAAGGAGGCCTAAAAACCTCCAAGGTAGTTTGGGTAAGCCAAAAAGCTGACAGGCTGTGAAGACACACAGAGACAAGCTGTTCCTGCCACAGCTAGAGTTAGATAGAATAAGCATGTAGGTTTCTTATTACAAATCCAGTTCTCTAAGCACTGTGTACCTTTTGGCTAAATAAGCCATACTGTCTTTTGGAGAAGATTTGCTTGTTCAAAGTTTGTTTGTTGTTATCGCCTGCTATCACAGGCTCACAACTGGGAAATCTTTGCAGGGTCTAATTTCAGTTGAACCTACTGAATTAGCCACAGATGATCACAAAGAGGCTGTAACCCAGGTCTTAGTCTAGAACAAGGTTAGAGAGTTTTGACCATTGTGGTGTTAACTGAGTTTTGACGACTGCCTCTCTGGCTTTTACAACACATATTCTATCAAAGGGTGGCCGACTTAAGAAAATGTGTGTTTCAATTAGGTCTATGGAAGAAACATTCAAAAACAAAAATTGTTTAAAGGAGATAAAGCACTATTCTAGATATTAGGCATGATAAAAGACAAGCAATTCTTCTTGTATTTAAGGAAAAGCACTTTCAACTAAGATATACAGACGTACTAACATGTACTATACTGTACACATATTCAAATAAAAGTACTGAAGAGAGAAATACAATTTTAATGGAAAGTGAAAAATTAAGATTAATTTTTAAAAGAAACAATTTTAATATACTGTTTGCTTGTATCTTGAAGGAAAGAAATCCTGTTTGTGAAATTCTTAAATAATATTTAACCTACGAAAAAAATCAGAAAAAAAAAAATCACTGTATGTTCAACTTCACTCTGTTCTTCAATATTCAGATTCATAATCTGGCTCTTTTTCACCTACTTTGGCAACTGGCCTTTTATAGTACATTACAATACCGTTTACTTTTCTACTTTGCCTTTAAGATGTGAGCAACTTTTCCTTTCCCTCTGTTTAACTCTACAAAGTAAGAATTAGGCAGTTTAATATGTAAAGACACAGTTGCATATTACTAAATGTTGCTTGGTATACAGACCTGTCTACACCTGTCGCATCCCCATGTAGAGCACTATGCCAGTGAACTGGGAGAAATTCAACTCTGCTCACTTTAAATTCCTCTACAGGCTTCTTAAAATGGGTCTGCAAAAGCTTCAGAGATACTGTCCTGAAGTCATCAACTTAAGGGAGAGTGATGGGAAAAAGTAATGGAAATATGTTATTCAAATAACAAACATAACAAGCGATATCCAAATATGTTTTTCAACTACATTGAACATTTACATCCTCTTTGTCCATTTACATGTTAAAAAACCTACTTAAACAGGTATAAGAAAAATGTCGGAAAATTGAAGTATCCCAGTCAAAATTGTATATGGCTTCTCCCAAAACAAACTTCATGGTCAAATATGCTCTTATAGGGTTTGCTTGGGATTTGTTTTTGTTTAGAATAAATACAAGTTTGCACATTTCAAGTTACACCTGAATTTATAGAAATCTGTGAGCTCAGTGCTGAGGAACTAATATCAACAACTAAAAACTCAATAATTTGTCAGTAAACTTTTTTAAATAGTTAACACTGCAAAAAATTCTCTTTATTGACTCCTTTAAGGTGGTATAGAATGCTTTCATGCTATTTATGAAATATTATTTGAAGCTATTCATGAAAGAAGGCAACCCAAGATTAAAGAATTAAAAGTATGATAAACAACTTACCACATTCAACAATGCTTCTAAATCTTAAATCACACACAGGACCTATCCCATGAACCATAAACACTAAATGGTCAATCTGAGACATCTCTCCTATAGAAAGAGAAAATACCAGTACATTGATACTGTTAATTTATCTCAAGGATGCAATTTATAAGGTAGCAAGCATTTAGGGATTTAGAACTGGAATAAAATTAGGCCTGGAAGTTTTCTTTTATAAAGAAGAACAATCTCTCTCCAACATCATGCTTAAATCTATACCAGTAGTTAAAGAAAAAATTAACTCTTAAGTTTTCTACCTCTATTAGTAGAGGCCTACTTAATTTGCAGTTTTGCAGAAACCAATAAATTGGGCACTGTCCAAGAAATGCATGAAAGCAAAAACAAAAAACCTTACTAAAAATAAAATGCTGGCTCTCCACTGAGAACCAGTGGTCCTCGTGGCCACTGCAGCCTGGCCTTGCAGCCCACTGGATGGAAGGGGAGGAGCACTGATGCAAATGGAAGCAGCCAAGAAGGCAGGTGCCCCCCTGGCTGCTGATTGGCTGAGATGGCTACCCACTGTGGGGCCACCAGGGTTCCTTAACCAGTCAGAAACAAGGGGCAGGTTTGCCACAAAAAGGCAGCAAAATTGGCTCCATGCACTGCAAGTGGCCTGCAAAAATCCCTTTCATTTGCTGCGGCTTAGGTAGATCACTATCTATTAGCTGCTGTGGCATTAAATACAGTGGCATTAAATACAGATTTCATTGGTCACCTTTCTTTTTCACATACAAGTCAGAAAATTAAGTTATAAAGTATACATGCATCTCAGACAGCCTGCCCACAGAAGCACAGTGCAAGTTCAAGGCGAGACACACACACACACACGCGCACCCTGCCCCCTGCCCCATTCAGGCACCTCACCCGGAGGAAACAGCTAGATCTTTGTAGTCCAGGTACTCCAGAAAGACTGTAGCTTTAAGTGAAACAGTCTAACATTTCTACAGTTAGCACTGAACTAACGTTATCTAATTATTCTATCAAACGGATTACATTAATTAGCAGAAAACTCTGAAGTATTAATGTTAACTTTTCAAAGTCATGAGACATCGTGACCAAAAAAGAATCCATGAAGTTCCAGCTTTGGGAAACAGAATTAACTGTGAAACCAAAACATTTATTTGGCATGAAGAACAACAAATTGCCCTTATAAAGAAACTCATGCTCTCCATGAGTACTCATGACAGTTTTACTATTAACACGTGGCTAGAAGAGTGGTGTCCTGCAGCAAATACCATGCATGAAACAAATATGTTAATAAGAAGACAATTGTATTGCAAAGCTTTGATCAATCATATTTACAAACTACATTCAAGGGGGAGGGGGGAAGGAAGAGATTCAGACAAATCAGCTGACCAAGACAGCCTGCAGGTCCTTCTGCTATTCACATACCATCAGGAATTTCATCATGATCATCATCAATGCCACGTTTTACCACCCTTGGTCTTGTCTGACCATCTTGCGTGGTCCCCCACTCATCTGGTATCAAGGAAGGTTGGAACTGAACTATTACCTGAAGCAAAATATATTCAACTTTAAACAAGGAAAACTCATTTTCTAGCCTGTTTACCTGAAAATATTGTACAGTTTAATGTGTCTCATCATTTATTGCATTTAAGTCTTATGACAGACACTAAAATATAGTCTGCCACAAACTCATAATAAGCACTGGAATAAGACCATTTACTGTGAGAGTGGCTAGATGGCCAAAATACAAGATGCAATTAACTCTTGGTTGTTTAAGGGGAGCAACTAGATGATCTGGAAAAAGATACTTTGTTTGGTTCCCTCTACTTGGAAGGTTGGCCTGCTTAACTATGGCTTGTAATCTTACTGGTGTCCCTGGTGGAGAATGATACCCAAAGCCCACATTTCTCAACCCTCATACCTAAGCAGATTGTCATAAAGTTGGTCTCCTGAAAGAAAAATAGCCCATCAGCTCTTTCAACCTCAAAGAGTCAACACTGTGATGCACTTTTTCACATGTGACAATCTGAAGTCAGTACAGAAACTTCAGTTATTGCAGAAAACAGCAACCTGCCAGCATATGAGTTTCCAGCGAGAAGCGCATTATACGTAAGCTGCATAACCTTTGCTTGGTCAATGCAATTTAACTTACAGTTTTCAAGACATACAGCTAAAACTGATTTGCGTGTGGCCTGCCTAAAAGATTAATAGGATGAAATTTCACACCCTATGTCAGAGTCATTCAAATTCTGAATGGCCAGAGGCACCCTGAGCTGCATATTTGGCATGGACCACCTGCACCCCGCTGTTCCCATGCCCTTGCTCCCTATATACTGCATTGCATGGCCACCTGCCTCACAGCAGGCCCTCCCACCGCACCCTGCCTGTATTCCCAAACCACAGAGGGTCCCTCAAGTCTTCCTAAATCCCCAGCCACTGGTTTCTGCAGCTGTGTTGCTCTGCCCCACCCCACAGCTTCAGCTAGAGTAGTGGCAAAAGAAAAAGCTCCTGGATCGGGAACCTGGGCCACAGCCACCAGCTTGATAGCCTTGGCCTATATTATACAGTATTTCAAATTAGATGATCACATTGGTTTCCCCTGCTCCCCACCCAGTACCACAGCAGCCAATGTCAACTGAGCTGCAAGCTCTAAAGGTAAACACTAGGGAATTGTCAGAAGGATATTCACAGCAAAAGGCCTTTAACTTTAGAAACTGCTCCATATTCCCAATAACCTGCAAGCCCTTACACTTATATCAGGCTTTTTATTGTATCTGGTATATTGCTAGGGCAAGGAGAGCTTATTCATTTATAAGCTTTATTATTTGAATATACAGAAACAATGGATAGGTAATTTTTTTTAAGTTCCTAGTGAGACTAAGGCTATGGACAAATGTAACTTAGAAAAGGGAAGTCACTGCCATCAACTGTTACAATGTAGCTACTATACTGCATGCTCCTGTAGTGATGCATTTAAATCCCTGTGACTATAACCCTGAAAGCAACAGGGTTAAAGCTGCAGTGGCTTTTCTATTCTTTTACCATTAGTGCAACATGTAAACATTTACACTGTAACAGCTTATACAAGCATCACTAGATGCTTGTGTCAATAGCAATCTATACCCTCAGTTAACATTCAGGTTATGTTTGACTATACATACACATTCTCTCAACTACATTTTATCTTGAAAGAAACAAAAACAGAATAATTAACATTACCTTAGGATTGTGCATAATAATCATTTCCCCGTTAGGAAATTCAAGTCGCCGGTGCCACTGATTCGTAGTTAGCGCTTTTTTATATTCTGCCTGTGAGAGTACAGTTATGAAAAACTAGTGTCTCTTTTTAGACTAGTATGTAACACGTCAGGCCAAAGTTATCCTATACAGGCAACCCCCACTTAATGCTGTTTCACTATAGCACTCATTCAGAATTGATACCTGCTTCCACTTAGCGCTCAGTGAGTTTCATTATAACGCTCGCGGTCGCCATCTTGGGTCATTAAAAACACTTGCAGTCGCCATCTTGAGTCGTCAAAAACTTTTGGTTTCACTTAACGCTTGGTTTTTAGGAACCAATTAAAACTGCTAAGCGGGGGTTGCCTCTACTAGGAAACAGCTTGCATAGCTTTATTCATAAGAAAGAAAATGACTGGTATATACAGTACTACAGAGTGGCTCCAGTTATTACATGAGAAACTGCACAAGCATATTTTAAGCCAGAGGTGTGAAACTCACCCCAGACCCCACGTCAGATCCAGACTGTCAGACCAACAGCAACTATAACAGAGCTGTGTTGGGGTGGCAGCACGAAGCTGAGGCCCTGCCACCAATGGGACCCTGGACCGCAATGGACACGGCCAGAATTCTGCAGCAGTCCACCCACCGCAACTCCTGGCAGCCCGTTGGACTACTGGCACGCTGCATGGAACAGCTCTGCAAGCTGAATCCAGCCTGCAGGCCATGTGCTTGACACTCTCGTTTTAAGCCAATAGCACAAGGGGTCAGAGGCAAATAAATCAATAACACTCCATTCAATGCATTACAAGAATATCTGATGAAAAATAGTCCATTAAAAAAATCAGAACTGTACAAAATGGCCACATCAACCTTATTTAGGTTTATTTAAAAGTAATACTGACCTCTAGCTTCTCACTGAAGTCTTCCTCATATGGAACGAATCTGCTATCTTTGTCTCCTTTATAAAACCACGTACATCGTCTCACTTCTGAAGGCTCTTCTTCCCAATACACAGCTTTCCTCATTCTGTCATACAGGTATACATCATAGCGCCCCCCATCCGTGCTCAAAATAACACTCTCAGGATCTGGTTGGACTACAATACAAAATTCATGCTTTGTTACAACATGCTTTTGCATTAACCAATTAAGTGAGTAACCTAAGCTATGAAAGGTGCTCAAAACCTTACAGCTCCACACTTTTACTTGAAGAATGTATGTGTTTTCACAGTGATAACTTGGAGGAATTTGCTTTTGCTGATGGAGACAGAATGCTACTCAAACACTTGTCTTGGAAAAAGTTCCTTTTGACTATTGTTTCATGCCACTTTCCCCATCAACTCCACTCTGTTCCATTATGAAATTCGTCATACTGAGAGCAAAATTAAAAAAACATCATGATGACCCATGTGGTCAACTGCCTCAAAGACAGGGTTTCCAAACAGCGGCCCGACATCATACTGAAAAGAGTGGAGTCTGTAAGTGGGACAGCACCACAAGTGCCAAAGAACCAAAATGGGAAAACTAACACAGACCACAAAAGGAAAGAAGCAGACATGAGAAGAAACACTAAGAGAACCTGTCATTAGAAGAGCAGCAAGTTGGCAAGTTTTTGTAGCATCTCATCCCTGAGTTTCCTAGGAAATCTTTGTACTTGCTGTACTTTGTATACAAACCAAACATTTTTGCGTACAGCTCTAAGATTCAGTCCCCTTACATACTACAGAATCAAAGTCCTGAAAGTTTACTTTCACTGCTTGATTGTATGGGGGAGACTTAATTCCACTCATGGCAGCGCTTAGCAGAACCATTCCACATGCACACAAACTCTCATAGTTAATAACTTTCATGATGTCATTAATAATCATTTTGCAAGGACAAAGAATCAACTGAAATAGCAGCTTTCTAAATTATTTTTATTGCTTGTGGAACACTTTACTATAATTCCAACTACAGATTTTCCCATTAGATCTTCAAGAATAATTACATTACAAAACTTGACCAGTTTTTTACTTTCAGTACCTGATAACATTGATTAGAAAAAAAATAGCTATAAACAGGCATAACATTAGAACCACCAGCTGCTTTGAAAGAACAGCTATGTTTGCCGTGATCAACTCAACAAATTGACACTAGGCCTGCTCACAAGAATCAAGATGCAAGGCAAAACACAGGGCACATGATCCCAAACAGGTGAAGGTATGGGCCTGTGTTATTGTTGGATGGTAAGATATATATTAGGTCTGTAAATTCTGACAGCAACAGTGCCAAGCAAACAACATTCTAGACCAGGCATTGGAAACTTGTGGCCTGTGGGCTAGATCTAGCTTGCCAAGCGACAGTATCCAGCCTGCAAAGCTGGGATGTTGGTGGCAATGCAGCAGGGAGGTGAAGTGGCAATCCACTTTCAGGCTTAGCTTTGTTAATTCAGCTTGCTGCACCCAAAAATTTTCTGATCTCTGTTCCAGACATTTAGACAAGCATGCCTCAGAATCAGTAAAGGGTGGCACCAGCTTCCTAGTGGCAAAGCAGTACTCATTCTCACATCATTTCTTCTCCATCTTCACAGCACTTCAGCATCATTATTCACATTCAAGGGCAAGATTAGCAAAATAAACATAAAGAAAATACAAACAGATGTCACGTTTCTAAACGTACCAGAGTTATAGACTTCCTCCAGCTTTACAGAATCTAAAACACTGAATGGCATCCATATCTGTTTGTTTTCCACTTCCCTGCAGTAAAACCAATGGGGCTGAACTGGTTCATACTGGTTCTGCAGTAAAACAGGTGGCGCCTGTACCAAGGGACCTGCAGGTCTCGAAGTTTGTAGAGGTTGGGAGGCTGACGGCAGTACTGACTGTGACGGAGAAAACTGAAAATATCTGTTTTAATACATGTGTTTCAAATACCTCAATATTTCAAATAAAATATGCTTAAATATACTGGATTACAGACAATATTCTCGCCCTTGTTTTCACAAGTTCCTCTCTTTCCAATATAGTACCCTTTGGGTCTCCAAGTGTTATATGCAGGATTTGAATCTCTAAAAACCCTATACCTTTTTGCAGGTTAACAAAGGAATATAAATTTCTCTTTCGACAGAAATATCTGAAATAGCTGAAGTCTGAAATTTATGGCCTAATTATTTTTCTTAGTTTGAAAAAAAATATTTTAAAATAATTTTGGCATTTGAAAATTCAGGCTGAGCATGTGGTCCATTACTTGCATGCAGCATATTAAGTAAAGTATGTTACTCTATTAGCTGCTCTCTTGTAGACAGACAACACAGAACATATAATGTAGCTAACGTCAGTATGTAGCATATAGTCCTTCGGTTGAAATAACACGCATGATCTATCTCCAACTCTACAAACTGACCTGGACAGGGAGACTTAAGGTGTCCATTAACCCAGCAATCCAGGAAATTAAGGGCCTGAGTTTGAGAAGCATCAGGTGCTACTCAGTACTCATTTCACAGGAGTTCTGAACCGAGAAGTTCAGGATTTTAAAAGGAAGCTGCCAAAATCATGTAACCTAGAAAATGTTGATGTAGGTGCTCACTTAATACATCAGGGAACTTTCCCAAAGCACTAATCCCAGATCTGTGATAAAGTTCAAAGGGGGCCCAAGATTTTCCTGCTCAGCTAAAGGATAAAATGTGCAGAAATAAGAAGAGAAAATTAACAAGACTAGGCAAAAAAAAAATCAATCAGAATAACCTTTCCCCTCCCCATTTATACTAATACTAATAAATAAAAGACCATTTGCATACCGGTGATAATGACCCCGGAGGTGTCTGATACATGTGGACAGGCGGTACAGATGGTGGTGGCTGAACTGACTGACTTGGCATCTGCTGCAGCTGGGGTGGAGTTATGTAAGGGTTAGCTCTACTGCTCAAGGAGGTATGGCGATACGGGTTGTATCCTTGCTGTGATGTTCCATGGGGAGGAGCTGAAAAGCTTGCAGTTGGGGGGCAGCTCTGCTGAGAAGCCTGATGAGCACTGCTTCCCACTTGTGCAGTAGGTGGTGTATTATACAATGTTTGTGACTTTGGAACATGTGCTGGAAAAGCATTCTGCCCATCCTGTGACCCTGGCACAAGTGGCAGAGAAGCTGGAGGCTTGGAGAAAGTTGATGACCCAACTGGTGGTGCCCCAGTTGTTAAGGGTAGCTGCCCAATGCTTCCAAATGGATCCCCACTGCTAGGTACTTGGGAGAAATAACTAAAAGTCTGTGGTGGGTTAGGACTTGCAGAAGTCTGACCCAAGAAGCTGTCCTCTTCACCAACATCTGCAGAATCATCTGCAATGAAATAGAAAGAGCTCATTAAAATGGAGGTGTTCAAGGAATTTCAACCATTTGCCTTAGAAGCTGTGCTACAATAGAGCAAAATATGATTCTTAATCATTATAAATACGCTATGAACTGAAACAGAAGGTGGCGAGTCTCCAAAAACACTTGAATGAATTCTGGAGTCTATTTAGAAAAGCACATAGACACAGCAATGAAAGTGATGAGACCTAGAGTTTTACCCTCAAATCTGAACTCCTCACTTACATGTTTATCATGTCACCCTTTGGGGGCACTTTTACAATACAAAAAAATATGATAAAAAGTTTTAAAATATCTTTACGCTGTCTTATTCCTTGCCCTTCCCTATGCTGTGCAAGAAAAAGACCATTTAAACTTAACACCACCTCTTCAGAAAATCCCGAATTCATATGGGATAAGTATTCTAATCTGTGTGGAGGACTGACCTATTTAGTCGCACCTAACTACATCGTACTTCTGCCAACAACTACAGCTAGCAAAAACTGGTGTTCCTGCAGCCAGGTCCCAGATCTTTTATTGTTATGTATGTGTTACTTGTGTAACTAGCTGGTTGTCCCTCCAACCTCCCAGCTCTGCACACAATATTGATGGTGTTACCCCGAGTTCCTCTACTTTGCATACTCCATCTGTATTTTTCCACGAAGCATGAATACACATGGTTGGGCAACAAAGTACTTGTGGATGCATAAACAAAGCAAACACACAATCCATTGTGAAAAGTTCTGATTCCAATGCTGTAACATGCACTGTATACCAGGTTACACAGCTGTAACAGCACAGGAGTTGTAACCTAAATCTAGGGACTATGAACTCATCCCAGTTTTACAGATTTCTTCTAAGCAGTCCAGGAAATGGTTTTCTCCACCATTTATTTTTCTGCTTCAGAGTCACTAAAGTTTAATACCAAATCCTAGAAAGAAGAAGTTTCTTCAACTGACATAACTTTATAGATGTGAGGTCTTTTTGAAAATCCACACTTTCCTTGAAAACAATAATGTTCGTTTCATTGGCTACATGAAACCATTCCTTGAAGGGCAGCGCTCTCGCTGTTTACACATTTTCCCTAATGAAAGCACATATCTGAAATGACATCTCATACATCATAGCTCGCACCTAACACAAAAGTGAAAAATACAATCTCCCTATGCTAGGGGTGTCAAAGATAGGGCCCACAGAGCCCTGTCATCTGGCTTGCAATGCTGCCTGTGGGTCTCAAGCTAAAGTCACATGCATGCATGTATGCAAGTGCACACTATATGCGGCACCTGTGCCAAAATGGCCCCTGTTCCAGATTCAGCATGCAGGGCCGCAGGCCCAAACTGGCCTGTGGACCAACACCCAACCATACTCATCTGGTCCACAGGGCTCAAGGAATTTGACATCCCTGCCCTACACCATTACAAAAACGTTGTGATTGTAAATAAGCAAGCAGGTGAGTGTTTCTTAATAGAGAAGCTTGGTGTATATGGCAAGGAACGAGAACTGAGAACAAGTGGACACTTTTGGTAACTAAGCTGGTAGATTTGAGGAAGCTCTTTCATCTGAGGTTGAAATGACACTCCAAATAAGCTTTGCCCATGTCAGCATCCTGGTGTTGCCTTCTGGGAATGGGTCTCCCATACATATTCTTTTGAGTAAGTACTAAAGATTATTACTTCTACTTTGCTTCCATCATCTTTATCACCAGAAGCCACTTCACTTCACAGGGACAACCTGCCAAAGACTTGCCCTACTTTTAACAACTCCAGACAGTACACAGGTCACTCCCGCTTAGCGCTCTTAATTGGTTTCTGAAAAACCAAGCATTAAGTGAAACGAGCGTTAAGTGAAACCAAAAGTTTTTGATGACCCAAGATGGTAACTGCAAGTGTTTTTAATGACCCAAGATGGCGACCGCAAGGGTTATAACAAAACTTGCTGAGCGCTAAGTGGAATCAGGGATCAATTTTAAAAGAGCGTTAGAGCGAAACAGCACTAAGGAAACAGCATTAAGCAGGGGTTGCCTGTACACCTCAACTGAAAGCAGGAGAATCATTACGTAAGTAGTAGGTAAGCATGCATTTGCTTCAGCTGGATAAACTTCCAAGATAACTTAGGGCTTCGACACATGACAAGTTCCCAACACTGTAAAAAGGAAGCAGACACAGACTGTACAGTCCTCCAACAGTGTAACTTAGTTCAGTCCAGTATAGAATCACTGCAGGAAAAATCAAGGGTACAACTGTCCCAGTCTTAGTGTTGCATGTCCACAGTTTATCCTAGATTAACTATTTCGAGTATACATGTCATGTATAAACTATCCCCTTGCCACCTGGTGGCATGAGGCTATTAACAGCCTACTGCGTGCCCTTCTCAGTCTGCTCCAGAGCCCCTTTGGTGTGGCATGTGTCCAGGTCCTCAGCATAAGCTTTCAGTATATGAAATATCTTTTAGTGAAAGAACACAGAAACTGCCACACTGAATTAGATCAGAAGATATCCAGTCCACTACCCAACAGTGGCCATTACCAGCTTTTTCAAAGGAAGGGGTAGGAAAGCCTGCAATATCAGTTCTAAAAGAAATGACTGAAATCCTTCCTCTGGCCTTCCTAAGTGGGCAAACACCTTGCCTCACAGCATCCCAGCTCCCCACCACCTGCAACCAGAATCCTGAGCCCGGTTCCCTACCATGTCACACTGTCCTTTAGCCCAGAGCCCTCCGTGGCAGGCTTTCCGGATCAAGTCCAGAAATAGAGTTCTTAGAGCAGAGCTCTCCAACTTCTAAGCAACCACGGCAGCATGCCCTGCTGCAAAGGCTGCACCAGCACAAGCCACAGGGACCATGTGTGCGGGGACCCTGGCTGGTCCTCAGCTCCCCAGCTCACTTCAAAATCACATCTTCTGTAGGAATGAGGGGAAGTGCCCTTCTCCAAAGCAGTTGCCTCTCCACCCCATTAATGCCATTTGGCTAGGTCCCCGGTCCTGTTTAAACTTTTCATTTGAGACTACCTCAGAAACTACTTTATGGCACAAAGGGAATAAAAAAACCCAGAGTTGGCAACTGTCTGTAAATTTCAGACAATCTTTGAAAACTCTTGGCGCTCTGGTGTAGTGCCCGAAGACTGGAAGAAGGCCAATGTGGTGCCTATCTTCAAGAAAGGGAGGAAAGTGGATCCGGCTAACTATAGGCCCATCAGCCTAACTTCTATCCCGGGGAAGATCTTAGAAAAGTTTATTAAAAAGGCCATCCTTAATGGACTGGCCAACGCCAACATCTTAAGGGATAGCCAGCACGGGTTTGTTGCGGGTAGGTCTTGCTTGACCAATCTCATTTCCTTCTATGACCAGGTGACCTATCACCTGGACAAGGGAGAAGAGATTGATGTCATATATCTTGACTTCAAAAAAGCCTTCGATCTGGTGTCCCATGATCGCCTCTTGGAGAAACTGGCCAATTGTCGCCTTGGGTCCTCCACGATCCACTGGCTGGAAAATTGGCTCCGGGGTCGGACCCAGAGGGTAGCAATCGATGGAAGTCACTCATCGTGGTGTCCTGTGACCAGTGGGGTCCCCCAAGGCTCTGTCCTTGGACCCATACTGTTCAACATCTTCATTAATGATGTGGACACTGGAGTCAAAAGCGGACTGGCCAAGTTCGCCGATGACACCAAACTTGGGGGCAAAGCATCCACACCAGAAGACAGGCAGGTTATCCAGGCTGACCTGGACAGGCTCAGCAAGTGGGCGGACGAGAATCTGATGGTGTTCAACGCCGATAAATGCAAGGTTCTCCACCTTGGGAAAAAAAACCCGCAGCATCCTTATAGGCTCGGCAGTGCTATGTTGGCTAGCACTATGGAAGAAAGAGACTTGGGGGTCATCACTGACCACAAGATGAACATGAGCCTGCAATGCGATGCGGCGGCTAGTAAAGCGACCAAAACGCTGGCTTGCATCCATAGATGCTTCTCAAGCAAATCCCGGGACGTCATTCTCCCCCTGTACTCGGCCTTAGTGAGGCCGCAGCTGGAGTACTGCGTCCAGTTTTGGGCTCCACAATTCAAAAAGGATGTGGAGAAGATTGAGAGAGTCCAGAGAAGAGCCACGCGCATGATCAGAGGTCAGGGAAGCAGACCCTACGATGACAGGCTGAGAGCCCTGGGGCTCTTTAGCCTGAAAAAGCGCAGGCTCAGGGGTGATCTGATGGCCACCGACAAGTTTATCAGGGGTGACCACCAGCATCTGGGGGAACGTTTGTTCACCAGAGCGCCCCAAGGGATGACGAGGTCGAATGGTCACAAACTACTTCAAGATCGTTTCAGGCTGGACATAAGGAAGAACTTCTTTACTGTCTGAGCCCCCAAGGTCTGGAACAGCCTGCCACCGGGGGTGGTTCAAGCGCCTTCATTGAACACCTTCAAGATGAAACTGGATGCTTATCTTGCTGGGATCCTATGACCCCAGCTGACTTCCTGCCCTTTGGGCGGGGGGCTGGACTCGATGATCTTCCGAGGTCCCTTCCAGCCCTGATGTCTATGAAATCTATGAAACTGTCTGTAAATTTCAGGCAATCTGTAGAAGACAGTTAAAAATCATTATCTGTAAAGTCTATAAAATATTTTGATGTCCATAACATTTATGGACACTTGGCAACCCTGCTCCACCCGCTGCTG